GCAACACTGAAATGTGGTTACGTTTTTCCGTGAAGGAAAGGACGAAATGTGACGGAAGATGACCATTCTAAAAATAAATGAAGATTAAAATTTCAAAAATCAGAGTTATTACACGAAAAGCACTAGTAAATATGTAAAACCTAGTAACTGCTGTCAGAAAGCATTCCTTTGTTGCGAATAGTGTAAGCTTACTTTCAAAAGTCGACGTCCAGATTCGCCTAACGATGACAGATGACAAAAAAGTTGAGCAATTGCCTTCACAATATTAACATAATTTACTAAAACTCGTCTAGCCAGTTGCTCTTGCTCACTCCATTATCGATAAATAATTATCAGACGAATTTATTCTGATTTTGTTCTCAACAAATGGTTCATCAACCATCATCGAGCGAAAAACAGCTGTGTCCTCCGATAATAACTTTCGCCTCACACTAGGTCAAATTGCTTTGGTTTTCAGTGCAGAGCTGAGAAAATGTTGGAGAGCCTTCAATTTTTGCATTTGCAACACGGACAACAGGTGAGCATGTATAGCTGCATTCAGACGATAAATAAGTCTTAAACGCGTGATCCTATCGGCTGAAGGAAAGTAGACGCGCCTTCAATATTTCCTTATGCAACATAGACAACCAACGGACACGAATAGTGGTATCCAGGGGTTTTAAGCGGCACTTCCCGGCTTCACACGCGTGTTTAACCCAAATTGTACGTATTTGAATCAACTACAATCCATTCTGCCCTGTTATGCATGTATTCCTATGCACCTCAGGGTTCATGTCGAAATGGATGTAGTTCTTATGATTTAAATATGTCCAATTGTAGCCACTGTTGTCCTACAATGTAGCTTACCTGAAATTGGAAGACAATGAAGTGCAATTTTTCATGAGCAACTGGAATTAGTCGATTTCCGAGAATTGACATTATACGGAATGCAACTTTGAGAAAAACATGGCGCAGTAAATTTAGAATCATCACTTTTAATATTCAGTACTCTGAAGGAGTATTCTAAAAAAGTATGCTCTTTCTGATCACTTTCAGTGGCCCTTTAGTCAAAGGCCTGAACTAGAAAGAGAATAACACATTTCCTCCTCAAAGCTCTAGGTGAAGAAAATTCACCCAATGGGAACTTTAGAAATCAATTCTTGAAGGAGAAAACACAAGTGTATTTTTAACAAGGATCGAATGGAAGCTTCATCATACATAAGTGATGCAGTAATTTTTATTTTTTTTTATATTAATGTCTTTTTTTATTTTTTTGGCTGATTGCGATACAGCATTTCCTACGTTCAATATTACCTAAGACATTGCCTCTTGAAAAGTCGGATTTTTGACGTCATACACCACGGTAATGAGATATGATTGACGCTCCGCAGCCCGGGATAATATATACATTAAAAAAACGATTTAAAAAGCGAGGAACAAGGCTGAAATTTCACAAATAAAACCAAAACGTTTTAGCTGTAAACTCAGCCATCCTCAGTTGGATAAATAGAAAGAAAAACTGTAAAGAATCTAAAATAGTATTTGGCTGTACCTTTCAAAGCGAGAATGTTGTTATGACCCCTTTAGAAGCATCAAAATCACAAGTTAAAAGGCGCATTAAACCTTGTGCAAGATATGAGATATGATAGACGCTCCAGGTTATAACAACATTCTCGCTTTGAAAGGCACAGCCAATTAAATACTATTTTAGATTTTTTACAATTTCTCTCTTTATTTATCCAACTGAGGACGGCTGAGTTCTCAGCCGAAACGTTTTGGTTTTATTCGTGAAATTTTAGCCTTGTTACTAGCTTTTTAAATTGTGTCTTTTTATTGCACCGCGGTAATGACACCCTTGGTTTCTTCCACCTTGCTTTCATCCGAGTTTCTCGCTGAGCAACCAGTGCAAATGTGCGTTACACCAATTGATGAAAGCAAGGTTTTGTGAAACTTGTGTACGAGCAGCCACTTGTTCTTGTGTACTTGTGTACTTGTGTACTTATGTACTTGTGTACTTGTGTACTTGTGTACTTGTGTACTTGTGTACTTGTGTACTTGTGTACTTGTGTACTTGTGTACTTGTGTACTTGTGTACTTGTGTACTTGTGTACTTGTGTACTCGTGTGCTTGTGTGCTTGTGTACTTGTGTGCTTGTGTACTTGTGTACTTGTGTACTTGTGTACTTGTGTACTTGTGTACTTGTGTACTTGTGTACTTGTGTACTTGTGTACTTGTGTATTTGTGTACTTGTGTACTTGTGTGCTCGTGTACTTGTGTACTTGTGTACTTGTGTAGTTGTGTGTCTAGCCTGACAGAAGTGACAGAGCCACAGTGTAATTCTATGCTCAAGATTCTTGAAGAAATTTCCTAAAATCCAGACTTTATCGATCGATTGAATAGGACAATAGTGAGAAGGTCATTGGTTCCTGTAAAGCTCTCTTACTTTATTGTACCCGCGTTTAAGTCTCTTTGCCTACTGTGAGTTTAACCGACGATACCTAAATGGTTAATCGTTTTCTTATTGAAGCCTTTGGCAACATCGGAATTAACAAAGCAAAGCTGGCGCTAGGACGATTATCTCTCGTTGGCTAAAGGTCACTAACCCACGGAAAACCGATTGGCTCGTTGAGATTGCGGAGTAACCTATTTTACGGGGATTTTCGGACTAGATGAATCGGAGAGTACGAGTGAGAGAGCAAGTGAGTGAAAAGTGAGGGAGGGAGGGGAGAAGGGAGGGGGAGGGGGGTAAGTGAGTGAATAAATACGAGTGAGTGGAGTTCGTAAGAGAGTGACTGAGGGCAAAGAGCTCAAATGAATGAAAGCCTCGGGCTCCGCCCCAATGGCTGAAGGTACACGGTTGCCGATTAGGGCTAAAATTATTATTATTTTTGCTGTAAGGGTTATGATAGCACCCCTTTTTCCCGTTAACATTACACGAATGTTTCTATTCAGAGGTATGCAGCACAGTCATTGTCATACTGCCGTCCAACGGGAAAACGTAGTGAAATGATAAAATGATTAAATTAATTATCTTTGACTTAAACATTGAAAATTTTAAATAGAGGTATTTACTAATTAACTAAACATTTATAATTAATTAAAATTAAATTATTTCAAAATTTTATTAAATGACAGCTGAAAAAAAATATAAATTTATCATGAGTAAAGATATCATCTAATTAAAAAAAAAAAAAAAAAAAAAAATTCCTCGCAGAATTTTGAAAGTCAGGGACGATCCATTTCTGTTAAGTCGTCTTAACTAAGGATAGAATAATTCTTTTTTACCCGACCATAGAAAGAAAAAAATTTAAGGAAGAAGAAGAAACTGGATTAAAAGTGCAACAAACAAAGTTAATAGTTAATCTTTTAATTTGTCCGTTCTAACAGTCAAAGTACAGTATTTGTAATAAAACAAAATCAAACCGGGAAATATTTAATTGGAGAAAAGACTGCCCGGTCTGGCTGAGAGGTTTTCGTTAAAGTAACTAACCGAAAATTTGGTTTCATAGTTTTTTCAAGGAGGATTCGTGTTTAATTTAACGAAAATATATACCACAATCCTTTCGCATCTTTAGAATAAGTGTTGTCAAGTTGTACCACGTGAAACGGAGTGAAAAACTCTATATATAGAAAGCAAAATCTCCCATGAGGAAAAAGTGATGATTTTAATGATTCCTCCAGGCCACTTGAGTATTACGTGCTTAATTATGAGCGCTCAGGATTTAATTGAATATCTGGATTTAGGTAACAAGGAAACACAACAAAAAACCGTAAGAGGAAGACATGTTATCCCAACGCATAATTTGTCGGCTCGTTCTGTTAATGACCTATCACATTTGTTTCAAGACTCGGCCGCTTCTTCTCTCAAAACGGGCCGGGAGTTATTACTTTACATCGCGAATCACTCGTGTGACAGCGTGATCAATAGCGCGTGGTCGAAAAAACCCAAAACGGCAGAGCAGAAAAGTTTCTGCGGTCAGGGTTTAAATCGATTTAATGCTATAAATAAACCTGATAGCATCCAATGTTTCATATTTATGGATAACATTTTCTCTATTACGTTTAGTTAGCGGAATATATCAGCGTTATTTCTCGTGTTCGCATTCAGCACGTGCCGACATTTGATATCCAAATGGGCCGGTCTCGCTCCTAAAATTACCGTGTTGTAGCCCCTGTTAGATTTCAGCCCCCCTAATTTTTCATTCCCATTCCGAATTTTAATCATCTGCCATCCTACCAACGAGATAATTCTCTTTAAAATTGAAAGGGAGGAGGTATATCCGGTACACAGTGGAACCTTTGAAACCATGAAAATTTGCATACTCTAATTTTGGTCTTTGCGAAAATAATCACCATGACAAATTGGAACTTAAATTTCTCGGAGCGTTTTTTCATTAAGTGCTGATACAATTGAATCGCATTTTACCAAATCTGCCGATGTCCATCTATCCCGTTTAGTTGATAATACTTTTCAGGGTTCGAAACTACCATAAGAGTTGTGGGTAGCACGAAAGATATCTGGCCATACCTAACCTAACCTACCCTAACCTTACCCATCCCGACCTACCCTTACCTAACCTAACCTAACTTAATCCTTTGTTGCATGAGCTAATCGTTGATTTTGGACACAAAATCTGCATTGTACAGTATTTTTTCGACACTGGAGTCGGTTGGAATAGATTTTAATGGTTTTTTCTAAGCAAGGAGATCAGACATATAACGTTCCCCAAAAATTATTTCTTGCTTTGATTCAATTTAATACTCCAGCATAGAAATAAAGCTGAAAACCATTTGTTGCTTTCATGCAACGCTATGCAATAAAGGAACCCAACGTAATCTAACCTAACCCAACCAGGTCGAAAAGTTTGCTTTGTTTCTCGTAGGGTTCATATTATTTCTCATCTACATGCAGTTTGAAATATTACTTGTTTATTTTGGCTTTTAGCTCGATTTTGTAATCAATTACTTTGTCTTTAAAACTATTTTGATCTGAATCTTAATGTGGTTTTGGTGTGTTGCAGGTTTCGGGAGTGGGTAGCGCGAACGACATCTGGCCGCTGGAGCGGCCAGACGGCATGCCGGTGATCCAGTCTCTGGAGGTGATGTGCGGGAAGGACCACATGGACGTCCACCTCCAGTTCACGCAGCCGTTCGAGGGGATCGTCAGCTCGAAGGGACAGTACGGGGACCCGCGCTGCGTCTACGTCCCGCCCTCCTCCGGGAAGACGTTCTTCTCCTTCCGGATAGCCTACGCCCGGTGCGGGACCAAGCCCGACCTCAACGGCCAGTTCTACGAGAACACCGTCGTCATCCAGTACGATAAGGATCTCCTCGAGGTCTGGGACGAGGCCAAGCGGCTCCGCTGCGAGTGGTACAACGACTACGAGAAGACTGCCTCCAAGCCGCCTATGGTCATCGCCGATCTTGACGTCATCCAGCTCGACTTCAGAGGTAACCCTGACCACTATCTTAGTAGCGTTTATTTTCATTCACCCCTTTATACTTCTGTGCTACAGAAGAACGCCGTATGAACCCATAGAATACATAGTTGTAACTAAGGGGCTACGCTACGCCCCCTGGCCGCCACGCGGCCCAACCCCCTGGAGGCGCTCCGCGCCATCAACCTATTTTTAGCCCCCTATCAATGTTGGTTTTATTTTTCCCCATAAAAAATTACGATATGGGGTATACTTTACTTTTAGAATGAAATGATTTTTGTTTTTGATGAATGAAGAAAAGAAAAATTTGAAGTCCAAAGAACGCGTTTTGCAATGACTGCTTAATGAAATATTACAGTAAAAATCCAAAATAGCTGTATGGAATACGTGGTAATTCCTATGTTTCTTGGTTGCATCGGATGGTCAGGTACCCTTGTATCGAAAACAATCGATCATGTATCGAAAAAGTGACCCGGCGTCACACAGGAGTATTGAGTTTCGGGACCTGGAAAATGCTTAAAAGTGGCGCTAGCTCTCCCGCTAACATTCCGACTTTATGTAAGTAATGTACTATGTGTATGACCCTTTCAGTGGCATGGCGCGTTTTGCAATATATCGATTGATCTTTCATTTAAACCTATGGAGAATGATCGATAAACATTAATCAGGGTATTCGAAAGGAACACCTGAATAATCGATCTTTTACTATAGCCTCAAATGGGGATATATCGATAATCAGTCATTCACGCCTAACCACCGTACCCTTCAGACGTTGATATATTTGCTTCAATAACGACTGAGTTCACTGGAAAAATGGAGAAATGGCAGACTGAAATTGTGCCTATTGCTTCAACTGAAAGTGCTTAGTGAGCTGATTTCGCATTATATTTCATAATTTTTCTCTGAAATGGGTATTTGTAGAAAAATAGATTTAATAGTCAGAGAATGTACCGCCTTGTGACGTCATCTGGTGGCATTCCCCACTAAAACACTTGTATTTTAGCAGGTATATTCTTAATTAAAGCGGGTTTGTGCTTGATTCTAAAGGAAATCTGCTAAATTAAGAGGCTTGGCTTACGGTTTAAGAAAAAATCCCATTGAATCAAGATTATCTATTTCTTGTCAAATTTTTAAGCGAGACTCTTGCCAATTTTACACTTGAACAGATATTCAAACTCGGGCTAAAATTAGCCATCTTTATTAAAAAATCAGTTTTTTTATCACAAAAAATTAAATGGATCGTATTCGGGAGGAGCAATTACAATAATCTCAAAATCTTGCTTCTATATCTTCATCTAAGAAAATTCTCAGAATGACAAGGCAGCCAAAACATAATTCTCCCGTTTCCCATTCGGTCGCAATAAGCATCAAATTTTACATAATGTTCCTCTGAACAAAACTAGGCATGAAACCTAATCCAACCGCTTACGATCACTCATACTGTAAATTTATGGGTCGCACAAGAGCGGTTCGTTTCTGACCCCATTTGCCTCAATTTATGGCCGCAATCAGCGTAACAGCTAACAGTAACGCGTGAAAAATTATTGAAATCAAGTGAGCAACGCCTCGAAGGAGACCAGCCTCGAATATTTTAATTTATCACTTTTTCGCCGTTAAAAGCTCAAATTAGTCAACAACAAATCAAACCAAGGACTCCCCGGTGGGATTTGAACCCGACCCGATGACTGCCGTGCTGAGGAAAAACGCCGTATGAACATTTAAGAGTTGCCAAATTTCCCCTGATAAAACAGGTATTTTGGAGGAAAGTTATGCATTTTTTGCCTCGAAATTTTCAGATGTTGTAGATGAAAGTGTGGACAAAATTGTCTGAAAAATTAGAAGATAAATATCAGCAACTTTCCCGGTAAATTTGTATTTAATCGAAGCAAACTTGGCAACGTCTGAAGCTTCATACGGCGTTCTTCCTTAGTATAGCGGATGACTGGTGGCTCCGTGAAACCGCGTTTAGGCCACGTGAGATCTTCCGCAAAAGCGGTTGTTTTCGGTAGGAGTGCAAGATTGTGGACGCCCGAATTCCTCCTGAATTAATTTGGATATGTCAAGTGAGATATATTTGCTCGGTTGTGAAAATTTTGCAGGTTGTCTCATTAGCTAATTTTGAGTTTAGTAGCCACAATATGTTATTTCGTCCCGCGATAGATGGGTTAGTTGTGTGCCAGAATGGAGAATTTGCAGGTGTCTGAAATTTGACGAATTTCGTGTTTGAATGGACGCAACCAATTGAGCTGAACACGAGGTTAGCCCTGGTTCATAAATTGAACAATTACTGGAGGAAATATGACAAACTGATCTAATCTGCTAAAATACATGTGTTTAAATGGGAAATTCTGCCAGTTGACGACAATAGGCGGCGCATTCTCTCACTTTTAAATCTATGTGTGTACTATTTCCCATGACTGAAAAATATTATAAACAATTCTGCAAAAACGCAGAAAGGAATGATGACGAGGACTTGAGATGAAAAAGACAAGCCCTTGGCGCGGCAATCGGCATGTAACACATATGAGCGCCTACAAGACTGCATGAATACTTCACCCATTGCGCCGAACGCAGTGCGGTCAGGAGCAGTTGGCGTGAAACGTATAGCGCCCACAAGACTACAGGAATACTTCACGCATTGCGCCAATCACAGTGTGATCAGTGGCGGAAGTTAAAATTATTAAACCACATTTATGTGTGTTCTTTTATAATTCGTTGGTTCATTTCTTATAAAATGAGGTCCTTGTCCACATAGAGATAGGTTTACGGAACTTAACTTTCGCGCAAAGTTCCGTGAAATTTTGTTAGTAGTGTTGACAGGGCTTTCGCAAAAAATGTATCCAACACGAGTAGGTAAACGTGTCTTATGCACCCCTCCCCCTCCGGCACGTTCACTTGATGGTTTTTATTGATGTTTCAAAACGAATGAGAATGGGGTGGCAAAATACAGGCGACCCATGGGCGGCAAGTAGGTAAATCCGGCCCTGCTTGGGCCCTCAAAGCTCCGCGACCTAACCCTCAAATTTACCGACCTGAGAACGCCATATGAACAACATTTTGCAATAAAGAACTAGTATATTTGTCTCATCGATAAAAGCACCTATCTGTATTGGGTAATTAATTCCTCATACGTTCTTTCTATAATGAGCCAAACATTAAAGTTCCGTTTTACAAAATGTATTCTATATGAACATTTAGTCCAGGCAAACAAGGAAAAGAGCCTGGAAAAATCCCGGGTAGCAATGTTTTCATCGATTCTTATGTAATTTTTGACGCTGAATCCGAATTTCAACTTTGCGCCATTAAATTCGGACCGGAAAGTTGCCAAATTTGGCAAAATGGCCTAAAATCGGACTTTTTTCCGGATTATGGCCTGTAACTTGCCAAAAATTGATCTGACTATAAAATTAGTTATTTTCAGAAATAAAGCTCGTTAAATTTCCTATAAAACAGTTCCTAAACTTTTTTTTACTCGAGGCAAAATCAAGCGCGCTGGCGGGCTCCGAACTTTGTAAAATGTGCGAAAATTGCGCATACTGTAATGTGTTGGGTTATCCTTTTTATTTACATCAATTCATTTCACTCAGTGTAAATTTTATCATCTTCACTTAATTTGTCCAGAAATTACTAGTCGGACGATTAAAACAGGAGACATCGGGCAAAAACCGCGAAAAACACAGTTTTTGCTCATTTTTCAAAGTTCGGAGCCCGCCAGCGCGCTTGATTTTGCACTGAGCAAAAAGTGTATGAAACTTTTTTACAGGAAATTTAACGAGCTTTATTTCTGAAAATTACTAATTTTATCGTCAGATCAATTTTTAGCAAGTTACAGGCCATAATCCAAAAAAAAGGCCGATTTTAGGCCATTTTTGCCAAATTTGGCAACTTTCTGGTCCGAATTTAATGGTGCTAAGTTGAAATCCGGATTCAGCGTCAAAAATTACGTAGGAATCACTGAGAGCATAACTACCCGGGATTTTTGCAAAAACCGCAAAAAACCGCAATTTACGTTCATTTTTCAAAGTTCGGTGCCCGCCAGCGCGCTTAATTTTGCCTTGAGCAAAAAAGTGTATAGAACTTTTTTATGGGAAATTTAACGAACTTTTTTTTATAACAACCAAACTGTCGTTAGATCAATTTTGGACGAGTCACAGGCCATAACCCGCAAAAAACCAAATTTTCGCTCACTTTTCAAAGTTTGGAGCCCGCCAGCGCGCTTGATTTTGCCTTGAGTAAAAAAGTGTTTAAGAACTTTTTTATAGGAAATTTAACGAGCTTATTTCTGAAAATAACTAATTTTATCGTCAGATCAATTGTTGGCAAGTTACAGGCCATAATCCGGAAAAAAGTCCGATTTTAGGCCATTTTTGCCAAATTTGGCAACTTTCCGGTCCGAATTTAATGGCGCAAAGTTGAAATTCGGATTCAGCGTCAAAAATTACATAGGAAGCGATGAAAACATTGCTACCCGGGATTTTTGCAGGCTATAGCCCTTTTCATGGCTTATTTGCCTGGACTAATTCGAGAGTTGCCAAAAATCCTTTGATGAAATGTATATTTTTGAGGATGGCTACGAGTATTTGCTTTTGAAATTTTCAGATAATTTAGATCTGATTGCGAACAAAATATTTGAAACCCGGAGGAGAGATATTCACAGATTCCTTCGAAAACCCGAATATTTGATCAAATGATCTTTAACAATGTCTGAAGGCTCGTACGGCGTTTCTCCCTAGCACGGCTGTGTAGGTACTCTAGCCAGGGTGGCAAAATTTCATGAAAAATAAAACCTTGAAATTTCTCGTGAAATATTTCATGAACTTTATGAGAGATTTTGAAAAGGATCGGCTCCTTTTCATGTTTCGTAAAATGTAGAAATTGTGACTTTCTTCTATTTTTGTGTGTTTTAGTGCGGGTTGAATACTCAAGCCCCTGAAAAATATGAAATATTTTACAGCCTAGCACTGGAGAAAAAAACACATTGGATCTAGAGTCCGGATTCTTAAAAACATTAAAAAGTACTCAAGAAAAAGTACTCTTGGTTCAATCAGAATCTAGCTTAAATCAAGAACCAAGCCTCTTAATCTAAGCTGATTTCGTTTTGATTTAAGCTTAAATCTGATTGAATCAAGAGTATTTTTTCTTGTCAATGTTTTCAAGAGTCTGGACTCTGGATCCAATGTGTTTTTTTTTCCAGTGCGCAATTGTAAAACTGCAGTAGCGGGTTAATTGCAATACGCGCTTAATATCGCCTGAATGCTTAAAAAAATTAAATTTAAAAAAGGAATGTGAAACGGACGTCAATCCACGATCTCTATTGTCCGATGGATCTGATCATATATGTATAGTAAAGCGAATCCAGGGTTAATGCTTTTGTTCTATATTACTTTTCTACCCTTTCGTTTAAGTCTCTCAGAACGTGTATACTGCCCTGGTTAAGGACAAATACAGCAAAATCATTAGATTTTCGCCAAATGTCTCCATAACATAAGTGTTTCTGCGGTCAGATATGAATAATTTTCCTCGAAATTATTAAGTCCCTTGGATCGAATTGAGAATAAAATTATCTGAAAAATTGGAAGAAAAACTTTTGCAGGTTTTCTTGAGGATAAGTGTTTTATTAGACTCAATTTGGCAACTTCCAAATAAGGCTCATGTGGCGTTTTTTCTCGGCATGGTAGTGTGTGAGTTTTGAGAGACTTTAACGAAAGGGTATAGAAAAGAGAAAAAAGTCGTTGACGAATTGCAAACCACAAAATCTACACCGGTAAGAAATGTTATCGAGGAGTTTGGTTTCTTTTCTTGCAGAGAATAGGCCTGTGATTGAATTTAATCGGTTTTGTGACAATGGTTTGGCTTCCCAAGGGCGTTTGATAAGTAATAAAGCGTTTTGACTCTTTTCTTGAGTATTTTTGAGCAGACTCGATCTGATTTCCACCAGTTCAATTAGAAAAAGGAAAATGAAAAAGGAGGGGGGGGGGGGTAACACATAAACACATGTTATATGGTACTTATATACAATACCATGTCATTAATCAATGATTCATAGATCACCTAACAAACCTTAACCTAGACGTTCAGTTATACAGAACTTTATATCATCACCTTCCGGACAATGTTTTCAACAGTCTGGACTCTAGATCCAATGTGTTTTTTTTCCAGTGCTCGTGAAATTTCATGAAATATTCTTCTGAAATGTCCAATCTTTCATTTCTTTCTTGCGGTTAATGCCACCCTGACTCCATCCCATCTCCGAAAAGTTTCATTTTTGAAGCGACTACTCTCCCGGACATCCCGACTCGCGACACTGCAGTGGTGCAACCCACGGCAGCGCTGAGCGTCCACAGCGCCGCGCCGGCGTCCGGCAAACCCGTTTTGCCTAATAAACACGCCGCCGCCGCCGTAGCCACCAACCGCGACCATCGCCTATCCCACTCGCCTTCCCCGCGTGGACTTGCGCGGTTTCTGCTCGGAGCGCGTCCGAGCAAGTTGAACGAACGCGTTCGGCAGACGCACACTCCCGGCCTACCGACCAACATCCGACTTTACTCTGAAAAACTAGAACCCCGCCCCCTCTTGCCCCCTCCGACCCCACGGCCCCCCGGTCCCCTGTGGCTCTCGCGCCGGGGCTTTCGGCGTTACTAGTTATACCTCCCGCGATGGCGGTCGCTCCATCATCGAGGAACCCGCGTTTTTTTCTGCCTCTTTCCGCCGCGTTCGGATGCGTATGGTCGTTTTCGTCGAGGAGCTCAGCCATCGGTCCTCCTCGGGGTTGCCAGATCGGCATTTAAATCCGATCAATGGAGATGTTGCCTGTGTGAGGAATTTGCGATTGACTGTTGATTCTTGTGAAAAAGTTCGCGAGAAACACGGTGGTGCCACTGGTTTCCTCTGAAATCATCTCCCAAGCTCAAAAAAAAGCTCTCGAGTTGAGGCCAAAATGGAGGGGATATCCCACGCAACCCTGAGAGTCCACGTCTACATCAAAACAAACTCTCCATGCAGAGATAGGGAGCAAATACATTAGCAGGGTTCCTTCTTTAATTGGGGACTCCAAAACTGAAAACACGGCAACCCTGCTAATGTATTTGCTTCCTATCTTTGCATGGAGAGTTTGTCTTGATAGAGACGTGGACTCTTGGGACAGCGTGGGATATCCCTTCAATTTTGGCCTCAACTTGAGAGCTTTTTTTGAGCTTGGGAGTTGATTTCAGAGAAAACCAGTGGCACCATCGTGTTTCTTGCGAACTTTTACATAAGAATCAATGGGTAAATCGCAAATTCCTTACACATGCAACATCTCCATTCTGCCGTGCAAAGAAAGAGCGCCGTATGAGCCTTCAGACGTTGCCAAATCCCTTTGATAATACAAGGTTTTCCTGGTAAACTTCAAAATATTTTCCAACCCTCAAATGATCATATGGCGTTTTCCCTTAGTCTTAGCACGGCAGTAATCAGTATACATGTAATCAATTTTGGGTCTTCTGTTTAAATTTTTGTCTAAAATGACATCGCCGTCTGAGTAGAACTTGTTTCTAGTAGGCGTTATTCCAGTTCCCGATCGTCATCGAAGATCATCGCTCCTCTAACGTAAGAGCTTATTTTCATTTCCATATGAGTCACGGAAAGCATGGCTTTATATGAGCAGCAAGGCTCACGTAAAAACAGATATACGCTTGTCCTGAGAAAAGGACGACGAGATGTCGTAACTCAGATCTTGAGAGAGGGTATCCGATTTCTATGTAGCTTTTTCGGTCAAATATCAGGTCGATAAACCATACTTCAGACTGAAGGAACTTATGCTTTAAAGCGCCGTTTTTCAGACAAAGGAACATAACATTATTCCGCGGTTGCAAAATTGACCCCAACAATTTGATTTCCTCACCAGAATAAGACTTTAATTTTTCTGTTCAAAATGTTGCTGATTTTTTCGAGTTGTCAGATAAAAAATTAGTAAAATGAGTTAGAAAAGCTCAAACGGAGGCTCCTAATTCCAAACCCGGCGATCTATATTGCCCTGCGTTTAAAAATTGTGCAATCGTATCAATTCTCTGTGAAGAACAATCGAAATGTCTAGTTGTTTTTAAAATTTTCCAAATTTCCTCGCTTAATAACAGAAAATTAACGAGAAAACGTAATTCCCGTTCTTTCACTTTCAAAATCATAATGATTGCACAAATTTTAGGCAGGGCAATGGAGATTGCCGGGTTTGGAACATAGGGACCTCAATTTTTCTGGTAAAAATAGAATTTGCAAAAGAAAATTATACGATGCTGGAGCACAGTTAAACGATCTTTTGTTAGGGTTTTTTTTGTTGTATTCTTGGCTTTGTTTCCTCGCGAAATGGTGTGGACCCAGCACATGGCTCTATGTTATACGCACGAGGCTCTTTAAAACAATGATGGTGGTCAACTAAACGTTTCGTGTTTTTTATTTTTCAGGGGATAATGTCGATTGCTGGATGGAAATACAACATGGGAAAGGTCCATGGGCCCCTCCTGTGAGTGGAATCGTACCGTTGGGCTCTACTCTCACGCTAGTCGTAGCTATTAATGATTACCGAGGTACGTATCCTTACACCTTCAAGGACTCCCTTTACTGTTGTTTCAAATCGTCGTCTCACGGAGGAAGGAACTTAACTTTATTCCATGATTGCAAAATAGAATCAAACCATTAATATATTTTACAAAAAATGTACTGGTTCCATTTCATCCTAAATTTTTCCGATTTTTGCATGGAGTCGGCGGAAAAATCAGCAAAATTCAAAGTCAGATCCTCTCGATTAATATGCAAGTCAATCGGTGAGGACAAAAACACGCCGATTCGGTGACTCGAAAATGCTCACTTTTCATTAAATATAGTCAATTTTCATAAAGGCCATTGGAGTTACCGCATCTGTTCCAACTTAGACATTTACAGTGTCCTTAAGTACTTGTCTTAAGACGCCAAAAATCTTTTTCGCAGACCAACGTCTTTACCTGCTGTGCAGTTTTGTGTGCATCTCGATTATTTTCATTTTTTCGAGTTGGTGTGTTTTCATTCTCACCAGGGCCAGATTAAGGAGGTGGCCACATGGGCCGCGGCCCATGGCGGCAAATCTAAGGGGCGGCAAAAATTTGAAATTTTGTAAAGTATAGGTATAAAAAAATCGGATTAATAAAAACAAAATTACAAACGAGAAAAGGCGACAAAATCTCTCATTTCCTGAGATTATAGTAATTTTTAATTTTGTCGTCTCTTAGTGATTCAAGAGACAGCACCTTCAATAAGTCGAGTCAAGAGAAAGACCAAACACGCAATTTGGCCTGGAACGGCGCGACTTAGAGAGAAATGATAACGAGGACTTGGTGTGAAAAGAAAAAGCCCTCGGCGCGGCGATCGGCATGTAACACATATTAGCGCCTACTTGACTGCACGAATACTTCACGCATGGCGTCAAACACAGTGCGGTCATTGCGGTCAGCGTGAAACGGGTAGCGCCTACGAGAATGCATGAATACTTCACGCATTGCGCCAAACACAGTGCGGTCAGCGTGAAGCGCATAGCGCCTACAAGACTGCGTGAATACTTCACGCGTTGCGTCCAACACAGTGCGTTCAGCAGCGGTCGGCGGCGGTAGTTAAAATCATTGATCCACATTTATGTTTGTTCTTTCATATTTTTTTCGTTCATTTCTTTATGAATGGAAGGCCTTGTCCACACAGAGATAGGTTTACGGAACTTAACTTTCGCGCAAAGTTCCGTGAACTTTTGCTAGTAGTATTGACAGGGCTTTCCCAAAAAATGTGTTCAACACGAGTAAATGCGTCTTATGGACCCCCTCCCCCGCTGACACGTTCATTTGATGGTTTTTTTCGAGTTTCAAAACGAATGAGAAGGGGGCGGCAAAATACAGGCGGCCCATGGGCGGCAAGTAGGTGAATCCGGCCATTGTTCTCACTGATTCAATTTGCGAGGGGGAATTTGGCAACTCTGAAATGTAGTTACGTTTTTCCGTGAGGAAAACTACGAAATGCACTTACTATGGCCATAATTGCAGTAATGGATGGAAAACTTTTGCCTCTGATTAATTTCTGGAAAGGAAACGGTTAGCTAACAATGTCCCTGTCCCTGTTCCAGCGTTGAATCGTAGGGTAGCCAGTAAACTTGCCCTTTCAATTTTGGCTATTGTTTTATTTCTGGCTTTATGAGTAAACTGTGTAACGCCAAAAGGCAAAACTTAGTGATGTTGCTCAGTCGTCTTTCGATATTTTCCCTTTTCCAAAGACTAATCACCATCACAAATTCTTCAATTCTACGTTTCTTCTTCGAACATGAAATGAAGATAACGCTTGTGCTGTCATGTAAATATCTATCAAATAGCACGCTGACCTACATACGAGTTGGCTTACCATTGAGGACATCGTAAGACAAAGCTTCAAACCGAATAAGGTGATGGTTTTAGTGGGGACGAATTTGACAAATTGCATATCCGTAAAACTCACGGATCGTTATTTTTCTAATTTTCTTCCCACGGCTTTGCATTCCGAACGTGGCATGGCTTTTATTCTTCTTGAGGAGGAAACGCTGTATGAACACTCTCACGTTGCCAAATTTTGTTTAAAAAAAAACGAATTATCTGGAAATTTGTGAAGTGTTTTTCTTCAAACTTTGTCGGGTAATGGATCTGCAATGGAGAATTTGCAAGACAAAATGTATTTACTTCATTCGAGAGTATGCTTAATGAGCTGAGTTCGGAATACTTTTCATAATTTTTATCTGATATGCGAACTTGTAGAAAACCCGATTTCAAATTGAGAAAACGTACCGCCTTGTGACGTCATATGGCGGCATTTCCCATTCAAACACATGCACTTTAGACGGTTAGGTTATTTTTTTCATATCTCCTCCAAAAATAGTTTAATTTACAAACCAATGTAATTCTCGTGCATGCTCACTTCTCTTTGTTTCATCTTAAACATTCAATTTACCAAGTTTCAGACACTTGCAAATTCTCCATTCAATCAAAAGTACCTGAAAATGCTTAGAAATACATACATAAAGTCGCAGCAGTCTCCAGCGCAGCCTCGCGCTCTGTATCGCTCAATCGCCATTGCCCCCTAAGAAAATTTAAAAAAATTTCCCGATCAAATTTCTAGGAATAATAATTACAATAATATATGTAAAACATGTTTTCTCCGGAAAATTTGACAACAAGCAAATGCTCATATGACTTTCTACCATAGCATGGAGGTATTTCGATTGATGATTTGACGTTGATGACGTCATTGAATACGGCCGTTTCGGCATGCACGGCATGATTTGCTGCTTTTACAATGGTGTAAAATGTTACGTTTCTTCATGGCTCATCAATTTAGCATTCTTCCTCTTGACTGAATGAAGCTCCGGCCGGCTCCAGGATTTGTTTCTCTCTCACTGGGATTCTTTAAGGGTAATTTAGGAGGAGATATACTGCTTTCCTCCAGGATCGGAATGGTTTTTGAAACGTCACGATAGGGAAAAGATAAAGCACTTTAAAACGCCGCGCAGTTTCCAAGAAAGGGTCGAGCTGATACATTGTATCCGCGAGACGGATGGTCATGATTGTAGTCGGGTGGATTTTAGACGAGACGCGCCTATCCGGCGAATATTCATTTTGCACGACAGCTTTTACGCGCGTACTTCTTTCCCTACATTACGAAGATAAAATCCGTGAATTTTGAACGACACTTGCGACTGAGACGCTCTGGCCTTTTATTAACATAATGGGCCACCAGACAAATGGAGATGTCGCATGTAAGAGGATTGCGATTCGACTGTTGATTCTCATGTGTAAAGTCTTTCAAAGAACGAGTAAAACAAAGTCACAAAATTTCAAAGGAAACTAATATAGTTAGTTTTCCTTTCAAAAAAGACAACACACTATAAAACACGTGCAGAGTATAATGAGAAAGTTAAACATATGCGAGAAAAACTTTCATTCCCAGCCCAGCGTAGAGTTTACTGCGTATTACCGGATTATGCTATGCGTATAGATATCACTCAAGCGACGGATGGAAAAGCGCCTTCAATCTAGCTCGACGCAAAAAACTGTACGGGAATGCGAATTCCATTCTACCATGTCTGTTGGTCCATTGAAATGAGGTCCAGGGCTCCCAGTGAACACAACATTTTCGATGAACATTTGCTCACCACTCGATGACCTTAATTTTTGTTATCACGAATAGAGGTCCAGGGATTTTGATTTCCATAATGTCTTATATAAAAAAATTACTCCCGAGCATTCTGGCCTTTGTTTTCCAAGTTTATCGCAGACGCCTTTCGCTCCTCGCACGGGGCTTCTTCAGTGCTGACAAATTATACTAATACTAAAATAAAGACACTAAAACACTAAAAGGTCCAGTGATAGTCTTCGTGAAATTCTTAAAAGTTTGTACCGTAACATTTTCAAAAAGAAAAAATAAAATTAAAACATCTAAAAGGCCAGAATGCTCGCGAGTAATTTCTCTGTACATAATCCACTAGTAAATTCGACGTTGATTTTGAAAAAAAAAATTGTTTCTTGGTCAATGAAGGGGTTGAAACTAGAGTACCTAAATAGGGAGAGTATGGACAACTCGAAATAAGTAGCTCTAAGGGCCCAAAAGGGTAGGTAACCTTTCAGAAGGAAAAATGTCACTGTCCATTTTTAAACTCCAATATCAAACGAAAATGGACAAGAAAATTCATTCTCTCGCAAAAATGAGTAAGTTTATGCAAAAACCAAGTCAAATACGTGCTTCACCAACGACAGTTCCCAACAATTGTACTTATAAATCACTCTGGATAATTTGAATTCATTGATTGCCTATCCTGTTGGGGTCTAAGAGCTCCATCACCTAACCTCAAAATTTTCGACATGTCCATACTCTCCCCATATAGGTACTTAAGTTGAAACCACCCCGAAACGTCCCAGGCTTTGTGTTTATTGTCATGGGAACGGAGTTCCCCATGATATTAGAATCGTTCCGTTGCTTTCGCTATGGAATTCCCTATACCTCTGCGACCTTGAGCGTTTCGCCCAGTCTCCGATTTTTGGTTGATTTTCCGATGTATCAAAAACCGTTGTATTTTTTAGCCAATCATGTCTCTACGTCAAGTTGTGTTGATTGCTAAAATTCGCTTTCAGCGAGTTTTTTGCCACCTGGAGATGTCGTGTCTGACTGGTAAATCTGCGCAGAACCACGAAGTTCCGTTTTTAGGCAAATTCTTTTTTTTGGGAGGTTCTGATTGGTTATTTTTCGCCATCAGTTTTCTGTTCGTTGGTGCAAAAGATCGCCTACCTCGTTGCTCTTGAGAAGCCGCCATTATCCCACCTCAAATTTTAAACATAGATATAAAGAAATAATAACCATCGTACAAGGTGGAAAATTGCTCTGGAGGACCCGTTACGGATATATGAGCCAAAATCAGAACTCGATTGATGGATTTAATCCATGAATACAAAATATTGCCTCAGCTTACTGCCGCGATCGCAAATCCATGGTGAGATGAACCTCGTGACACATGACAGCATAGGTAAACAATGTCTCACAGAGTAATGCGGTTGATCCGTTGTGTCTTATCACGCCAGTGGCCGAACCGTTGAAATCTCAAGGACGTCTTTTGTGAAGCCCCGCTCAGCGTCCGAGATCACTTAAGTGTTCTCTTTTTCTCAATGCATATCTGAACAGCGAAAGAGCTCAACTGGCTGCGTTACCGTTTTGCCTCTGGGAGAGTGACACTTTTTGTGCGAGCGGGGGTTCGAATCTCGCAGGGGACAGTTAATTTTTACTGGTTGTATTGAATGTTTTAGACCAATCATGTAACAATAATTAATACTTGGCAGATTAGGAAGCACATAGGTCCCTTATGATGCGTATTCGAGCATATGTGTAGAGTGGAAATATCATACGTAGGGTGTCCCAAAAGTACCGGGACTGGTTCTGTAACTTCAAAATTAAGATAGATACAGACATGATTTTGGTTTCATTTTAAAGATCAACTCAATACCTATCGATTAAAACCAAGATCAGCTCAATCGAATAAAAATTGACCGAGTTATGACAATTTGAAATTAGTGAGGAAAGTTTACCCCTACGGTTTTTAGGAAGATTTTTCACTTACCAGGATTTAAAAAGTTAATATTCGTATCCACTTTCCTCCGAATCTTCCATAACTTCCTTTTGCTTTTCAAAGTACCGTCCATCAAACCGGATGCACTTTTTCATGCGCTCTTGCCACTTATCCAACATTGTTTTCCTGAATTATTCCTCTGGGATGGAGTTGAAGAAGTTTTGAATTGCATTCTGGATTTCGGTCTTCGATACGAATCTTCGTCCGCGAAGCTCCTTTTTAAGCGTGGGAAACATCCAAAAATCACATGGAGCCAAGTCAGCGCTATAAGGGGGATGAGGGATTGTTTCAACTCCATTTTTACTCATAAATTCACGTGTTAAGCTCGATGTGTGAGGCTGCGCATTGTTTTGATGGAGTATCCACGGAGCTTTCAAGTCCGACGGTTTCCGGGAAATGTGCATTCTCAACTCCTTTACTACTTTGCAATAATACGCACTGTCAACTGTTGTGTTTGATGGTACAAAATGTTGATAAATGACACCTCGAAAATAAAAAAAACACAAAACGCAATAGTGTATTTCCTTCGGAAAATACACTAATAAGCATCACTTTATCGGCCGACTTTTCGATTTACGGCGATGAAGAATCTTCCTTAAAAATCGTAGGCGTAAACTTTCCTCGCTGATTTCAAATTGCCATAACTCGGTCAATTTTTATCCGATTGAGCTGATCTTGGTTTCAATCGATAGGTATTGAGTTGATCTTTAAAATGAAATCAAGATCATGTCTGTATCTATCTTACTTTCGAAGTTACAGAACAAGTCCCGGTGCTTTTGGGACACCTTACGTATACTTTACGCCGAAAAAGCGAACCTGAAACTTAAATGCGTTAACTTCCGAAAACCATATATAATTCAACGAAAATAAATAATTGGTACATAACAGCTTTCTTGTATGCAAAGAAAATAATTAAAAATGTTAAAAAAGAGATGTCAACACAAAATTACATAGCCCCTTCAATTCAGAAGATACTACAAACGAACTGTACCTTAACATTTTCATATCCCAGAAGCTAACGTTCCCATGACGAATATTGCTATCGCTAGCGATTGCAAAATCCAACTTGTTGTTTTTTAGCCTTGGTAACCCGTTTTCTTGTGTCTTTTCGATGAATTATTCAGGCTACTTCTGTGTACTATTGTTTACGCTACATCGTGAATATAATTCATTTTTTTTGTGTTTCAGGGGAGTTCGACATGCGCGTCAAGTCCTGCGCGGCCTCGGACGGGGGCGGTCACGTGATCGAGCTGAGCGACGAGCACGGCTGCGTCCTGCGCCCGAAGATGATCTCGCGGTTCCTGAAGGCCCGCATCAACGACGAGCGGGCCTCGGTCATCACGTACGCCTTCTTCCACGCCTTCAAGTTCCCGGACGCCCTCTCGGTGCACATCAAGTGCAAGGTGGAGATCTGCCGCCACGGGTGCCTTGACCACTGCCAGCTCCCCGGGGCCGGGACCGGCGCCGCCGAGCACGGGCCGCCCAACCCCCAGTTCAGCATCGACCACTCCCTCTACGGACCCTTGGACAGGAAAGACTCCGTCGGGGCCACCGGGGGTAGCTCCGTCACGCCGGCGCCGCAACCTCCTTCTGTCACACAGGTAACCCCCAGTTTCAACCAGAGCAGAGACAAGAGACCCTCCAAACTGCCGTGATAGCGAAAAGAGCCATAAGTGCAAAATTCTCGAAATCGAGTTTTCTTCAAAATTCGTCTAAACTCTTTTAGATGAAATTACTGAGACAGCTAAAACAGCAAAATTCATCCTAATTTAATGAAAACAAGACGTATGAGAAAGCCGTAAGTGCACAAAAATGACAGTTTTTTTCAAGACAGCCGCAGGTGCATGAGAGCCAATGAAAACAGTGCTTTCCAGTAAGGTGCCGCCCTCCTCTGCCAATTTCTAACTTGAAAATGTGTTTGTTGTGCGTCCAAAACGCAACCACGAAAGCATGCAGAAGATAGCACTTACGGCTGTCTTGCCTATAACAATAACCTAGCATGAAAATGAAAAATACCCTTTTTATGTAATATGGAAATAAAATCAGTTAATTTTTAATCATCCATACGATTTCTAGGAGTCTTCCGGACGATTAGTGGCAATTTGACAAAGAACGGAGGCTTCTTTCAATAAAATGTTCTTGTCAGAAGCTTCTGAGCCCGTTTTCTCAAAATTTCATTTTTGCACTTACGGCTCTCTTCCCTATCACGGCAGCATCAGTATCTTGGCCATGGTGGAAGCTTTTACTATAGGGACTACAGCATTCCACTGTTGACTTTACCTCCATGGTTGATGTTCAACAACGTATTGGCAGCTTCGTTTTGCAAACCAGCCGGAAATGGCCGGCGTTTGGGAAACTTGCTTGGCTCATAACGTCACCCGGAGCTCATCATTCACCATGTAGGTAGGTCAACAGCCGATATAAGCGTGATGACTATGTTGCTCCCTTATAATGTCCATAAGGAATTGTTGAATCCCCGAAAGTAAAAGCTCCCACCTGTCGGAAAGAGGCCAGTGGAGGGTATCTTGTCTCTGAGCCAGAGCCACAAAAGTCGAATTTCCGCTGGGAGACTTTGTCTAAGTTGTTTACTTACTGTCAGCCTCCGTTACAACAATACGAAATTCCCTCTGGACGAGGTGACGGTGCGCCTACAACATTTGATTTTCGCACTGACAGCAATGACAACCCTGGTAAAAATAATATGTGCTTAGACTTATCTGAGCACTTGTATCAATTGCCTGCGGATCAAATCCAAACACTGATATCAGTACTCTCAGGCGCACACGTCAGTGTTTCTCGGTTCTGATATCAATGTTGTCATATGTTGTCTCTTTACTGGCCGATTTGAATGACTCTGGGTAAACATGCAGGGATATTTTTTCACGAAAAAAAAAAACGAATCTGACATCAGAATGCAAAAAACATCGTACAGTTTACAATATGAGGCAATATCAGTCATTTTTGACGCTGCCATCTTAAGAATAGCGCAATGTTTTTTTTGCATTATGAAGTCAAATTTGTTCTCCTTGAACGTATAATTCTTGCTTTTTTTAAGATCTGAAATCTTCATTAAAGAAAAATTATCGACGGGTTAGGGCGGTATCACACCCGCACCATCATTGCGTTTAACAAATGCACTTATCAAAAAAAGTCAAAGATGCCCGAAATGCAAACACCTCCTTTTTTTCCCTCTATGACTTACTTCCCTGCTGTTTAACGTGGCCCAAATAAGTTCCTCTCTCCTCATATCCGAGTAAATATTTTAACCTTCTTTGGTATTTTCCAGACTTCAAAACCGCCGATCAAGGTGGACCTGGACCCGGACAACTCGGCGTCCCCGTCTTCGGACTCGGGATCCCTGGGATCCCTGGGCGACCTCATCTACGACGAGATGGTGAACGTGGGCGCGGAGAACGACAACGCGCAGGAGGAGTACCCGTTCAAGGATGCGCAGGCCCAGGCGCAGCAGCAGAAGGCCGAGACCCGCCCGCGACCCAACGAGGCCCCGCGGCCCAGCGCCGAGGCCCACACCAAGCCCGAATCCGAGGCCCAGGCCAGGCCCTCCGAGAATGATGCCGCCTCCCATTGGCCCTACCATGTGAGTATCCGATACACTCCTACAGATATCTAAGTGAACTCCACACTAAAAGAAAAAGTTCGGAGTTAGGAATCTCCGATCATAGTTAGGATCAGTTAGGATCATAAGGAACCACGATTTTGTTCGGTACACACGACCGAATTATTCGGCCTGCTCATCCAAATTGTTCGGTCCACTGAACCGAACTGTAAGAATTTATTATGGTTCGGTCGCACAAACCGAACAATTCGGTTGAACAGACCGAATAATTCGGTTGTGTGTACCGAACAAAACCTGGTTCCATATGATCCTAACTAGTTCGGATTTACCGAACTTTTTTTTCAGTGCGCGGGAAGGATATATGTATGTACAAAGAATGGAGATGTTGCATGTGTGAGGAATTTGCGATTTGACTGTTCATTCTTATGTAAAAGTTAGCGAAAGACACGATAGTCCCACTGGTTTTCTCTAAAATCAACTCCCAAGCTCAAAAAAGCTCTCACGTTGAGGCCAAAATGAAGGGGATATTCCACACTATCCTGAGAGTCCACCTCTATATCACGACAAACTCCCCATGCAAAGATAGGGAGCAAATACATTGACAGGGCTGCCACTTTATGTGGGGATTCCAAAACTGAAAACACGACAACCCTGCTAATGTATTTGCTCTCTATCTTTGCATGGGGAGTTTGTTTTGATGTAGAGGTGGAATCTCAGGATAGCGTGGGATATCCTCTCCATTTTGGCCTCAACTTGAGAGCTTTTCCTGAGCTTGGGAGTTACTTTCAGAGAAAACCAGTGGCACCATCGTGTTTCTCGCAAACTTTTACATAAGAATCAACAGCCAAATCGCAAATTCCTCACACATGTAAGTTTGCAAAAGATGCCTTTGAAGGAAAAGGTGAAAAGCGAGACACTGGGCTAAAAGAAGATCACATTTTATTGATAAGCTTACAAGTGCCTAACCAGGCTTGCCCTAAGCATGTCTTCAGTTCTTTTCTTCAGTTGCCAGACCTCACTCCCGTAAGTTACGATACTCTTCATGATGACGTAAATTTTTCTTTTTGTCTCCTTGGAGATACTCTGGTCACAGAGAACCCCATTTAACATCGCGATAGCTTTCCTGCCTTGCACATTCCGATCTCTAATAGCTCGATCCCTTAGTTAACCAAACTCCTATTTATTCCTAGATTGATCACTTTTATTAACGGTTCGATCTTTCTCATTTCAGGACGGAGCGCCGCCCCGACAGAGCACCCGCGACGCCCAAGAGCGCTTCCCGCACGGCCCCCGGACGTTCGACGCGGACTCGGAGCCTCTGACCGGGCACTCGCTGGGCGCCGGCGCCCACCACCGCCGGCGGCGCTCGGTGGTCGTCTCCGACCGGAAGGCGCGCAACGCCGACGTGGGCGTCTCCGGCCTCTACGAGGTCATCTCCGAGGCCGACCTCGCCTTCACGCCCGACTCCAAGGCCGAGGCCGTCACCGTCTTCCAGGGCCGCATCCGCGAGGACATCGTCTACGGGATCTGCCTCCCGGTGCCCAGCTTCAGCGCCCTCTTCATGCTCGTCTCCGTCTCGGCCGTCGCGTCGGCCCTCATCGCGGGCTCCCTCCTCTACCGCTACCAGGTCGCCCGCGAGGCCCAGCGCATCGTCGCCGCCCAGCGCCTCCGGGCGCCCCCCGCCCCCGCCCCCGCGCCCGCCAGCGCCGCCCACTCGCCCGGCCTCATGATGACGTCGCTCGCCAACCTCATGTCCTTCAGGATAAACCGCCCCAGGATACAGTCGAGTCGGACGCCCTCGAGGCCCAGCTCCGCCGCCACCAGGTGCGGCTGACGCTTGTGATTACAACCCCCTCCCCATCAGTTGATTCAATTTGTTCTCCTTTGAGCAGAGACACTGGCGAATCTTGCAAGTTGGCACACTGCTTTTCACCCGTTTAAACCTATAGCATTGGCGAATCCAGCAAATCGGCAACATTTTCTTTTCTTCCTTTAAACCTATACTGAAAAAATAATATGCTGTTTTAGCATCTAGGATGTCAAAAATGTGTCCAGTAATCCCAAGATGCTACCTTTACTGCCCCAGCAGTTAATTTTACATCCTGTGAGTGCAAATTCAATTGCGTGGGCAATCAAAGCAGCATCTCAGGATCACCAGACACATTTCTGAAATCCTAGTGCTAAAACAGCATATCATTTTTTTCAGTGTATAGAAATGTATCGATTCTTGGAGGGGCCAGGTGCTCCGACAAGAATCGATTCTTCAGCATAAGTTTAAATGGAGGAAATGTGGTGTTGCCAATTTTCTGGATCCGCCTCTGACCTATAGACTGTTTTCGTGACTACGTCATTCAATATAATATCGAACACTTGGTGCAAACCGAAACACACTAACTTAACAGCATGTGTAACTTCTTTGTGAGTCAATTGTGTTAATTTATCACAATTTAGTCATTGATCGGTCATAAATCACCGAAGGGCTCATTAAACCGGAGGAATTTCGATTGTAAGAAACACTTGGATGCATTTTACCGCCATGGCGCAAATGACGCGAATCAGAAACGAGGTTATGAGTTTGCTTACTTTTGAAACATGACGTAGCCTCTGAATCAGTCTAATCCAAAGATCGATTCGATAGTTTCAATTGCTCGATCAATAAATTTTTAGAATCGATTGTTTTACATCGATAATATCGATACATCGATTTTAGCAGAGAAAAAACAGTTTCACCAATTTACAAGATTCGCGATTGGACAGAAATTTAGTCATACAATCAGTCTTGTACGGTCACCAGACTTATTCTTATCTCTACCGTTGTAATACTTTCCTCGTACTTTGGCATGACTCGTACATGGACTAACTTTGAAATTACAAATGCCGCGAAGTTTTGCGAAAGTACGAGATGTTTGAGGCGAATAACTAGCCAGTTGTCCAGTGAAAATCTGCCATTCGATCTCTCGTGAAATCACCACCGATGGTGGGTAAGAATTTTAGTGCTTAGGATGTCACTAATTTGTCATTTAAATTGCCAAACACTTTTTCATTCTTGAATGAAAAGCACCAGCTAGTATACTTTGAGTGCTTGCAGTTAGAGGAGTGATATTTGTTGGGTTCGGTTCGGATAGACAACTAAACTCACAGCCTGTTGAAGCATTTAGCATCACTTGGCTTTGAAGGCGCTCTAAGTCGAATCCTAACGTATGGAAATCTCTATCAATGAAATCTAAGGTATGTCGATGCGAATCTTTGCAACTTGATGAGTTTGCATGCATGTCGCTTGCAAATTGTCGGCGATTGATAACTGCCTGTGAAGTATCCACCATCAATACGGCAACTATTTCATGCTAGGTCGGATTTGATTTTTGCTTTTCTTTGCCCCTTTTTGTATCACTACAGAATTGTGTGTACTTTAATGGGCTCGTTTGATGAGAGTCAACATGACCAACTTAATAACGCTTTAAAACCTCACTTAAAACGTAAAATTTACGACTCTCCATCGCGTAATAAGATTGGAAACCATGAAATCTAAGCACCCAAATTCAGCAGACGCCATTGCGTCTGTTCACACTCACTCGGTGGTTGAGATAGAGAGATGATGCATAATTCAGTAGCAATTTAATTGTTTCAGTACTATGAACAGCATAGTTTTGCTCTTATTTCCAATTTTAACAAATACTCCGAGATGGGAAACAAACAAAAATCGCCTTACTCCATGCATATGATTGTAAGAAAACCTAAATATCCAGACTGCGTACCAACATCCACAATCGGTTGTTTTTTCTATTTTTAGAAAATCCTCTTTTTAAAGTAGTATTATTTGGTTATTGTTTTCAGCTGTGCTAATTCAGTTTCAAATGAAATGTTTGTTTACGTTTTTTCTTGTATATAGTTATAGATAGTACAAACTTTGAGGTTATGATAATTTTTCTCTTTCTGTTAGAAAATATGGAATCTCTTCACCGCATTTTAATTCCCTCTTTTTCAACCTCAAAAATAGGCTTCTTCAAGCGATGGGCGAAGTTTATCAAGGCCGTGCTTACATTTTCCGGTATTATTTCAATGACTACTTTTGATTCTTGTAAGCGAAGATTAGCGACCTTAACATGGAGCACTTAGAGCTAAATTTCCTTCTGTTTTCCATGACTTGCCGATAAAGATGCGGCGAAAAGGCCGTTTTATCAGTTCCATAATACAGAAGTAACTTAAATGATTAACTCACTTTTTAATTCTTACAGACTTACATATTTAAATATTCTGGCTTCAATCGTTACTTCTTTAAAATTTCAAATGAACTTATTAAATGCATCAATATCGTGTAATAGAATCACGGGTTTAAGTAGGATATTTTTTCTTGGAGAAGCCATTTTAAGGAGTGAACCCTGAGGTAAATAAAATGCGGATTAATGAATTTACTAAGAACCTGCATCGTCAATAAAATAGAAAATAAATAAATAAATAGAAAAATTGGTTCACCATGTGACTGCTATATTAGCAGTTGCCTTTCCTTACTTCTTTCAATTACTGTTCAATGAGTCAAAGCTTAATGGTTAAAAACAGCAATGAATTTACGCAAAACGCACAAGTCGGTGTTCTGTCAACTTTAGCTATCGATGGATAGTTTCTAATGGTATTTTAGAATTGCGAGAGCGGTATTTCCGGATGAATATTTAGTTTATATGTTTGAAATACCATCAGATTATCTTTTACCGGGTACACAGTACACTCCGTTTTTAAGATACGTGCAATGTGCAATTGGACGGTTAATTAATTATGGAACAAACATTTTTGTTCTTTTGAGTGCAATAGAATCTATTTTATTTTTTCTGGGACTGTGTCTAGGGTGTGAAAAGATATTGGAGCACCCTGTTTGGTAACAGTTCATCATGAGTGATAGCGAGTTGACGATTATAGATTTGCTAACAAGGAGAGTCAAACAATACAATGTTGTGATTTTAAGGAGGCCTACTGACAAGCCTTTTTCGTTTTTGCTGATCTGATCATGTACTATTTTAAACACACAATGAGTAGATACTTGTAACAGGCACACATCTATGTTCAATCTAAGTTCATGAAACGATATAAGACAGCAAATATTCGGAGGGAACCTTGGAATGGTTCCTTCATAAAGGCATTGATTACTTTACATTTCAGTTTTAGCTTTGCTTTGTCTAGTCTGTGTTTACGATTCAATCAAAAACTAAATTGATCCAAGAAAAAATAAGAACTTAAAATGTGAAATTTTTTTCGATATTTAACGCATCAATTTGCCCTCTAGACATGTTGACTAAACGCCGAAAAGGAACAAACCCATCAAAAAACCATGGTGGTTCACCGATCGTTATCCTCTTCCTAAATCTGTCGTGGAATACAATTGAAGACTTCAATATCTTATCACACTTGTACACCAGTCAACAGGGACTTCAAAAACATCTACTGGTGCGTTTGAAATTTCAAATTTTTAACTCATTAGCTACCCAGCCCTTTGATATAAAGTTTTGAAGTCAAATGAAATACCTCAATTTTAAATTGTAATAGTGCTTTTTGTAATAATTTTGTTGATAGTTAATTTAAGTAATTTTAGGTGAAATTGTAATATACTTTTCATTATTTATTGTCTAAAACATTTATTTATCAAATTATCTAGGTACATTTCATGTTGATCGAATTGAATCTGTACATAATTATTTTAGCAAAAATCGTAACAATGTTTAATATTTTTGTTTGAAACGTTTTACTCAAAGAACACCTGATATGCTCAGTAATGAATGTGTTTTGTGCCAAAGAAGAATATATTAGTATCTGTAAGGATAGTTCAACGTTGAAATTATAAGGAAGAATTTTTCATTGGGAAATGTCCGCTGTCTAAAGATATATGGTAATACAATCCATACTTTTTACACGAATAATTTATGGTGAATCTATTGGATCCATTAATGGAAAAAATAGTTCAAACAAATGACTCATGAATTTATTTTCCTTTTAGAAGAGCAAACATTGCAAAAATGTGCTCATTGATGTCCTGACAAAAACAAGGGCACTTTCTTAGACCAATAATTTCATCGGAAAAATTGTTGTTTGCTACTTCAATTTTTCCTAGATCAATGTTAGTGCAATTTTATTTTTTGTAACGAAAGAATTATATGACACAATTTTTGTGCCTTTCTATGCGCACGATTTTCTTCGTATCATTGTCTAAAAAATCTTAAGAGTAATGTTGTAATCAAAGAAAAGGTACCTTTTTATTAGCACGTATTATTTATTTATTTATTTCTTCTCTTCTTTCTCTTTGTTATTTATAATTTTATATTTCCATCATTTTTAAACAAGGTGGCTGAGAAAAATGAAAGCTTTCGGAATGCTACCATCAAACACTTCCTGTGTGCTCTATTTTCTTCTAAATCTTTCTCTACAGAAAAATCAAAATTTAATTTATACTTACGCTAATTATATACTGACAACTCAGAGATGGAACTTGCTCCCTTTAAATGCTGATACAATTTCTGAACATTACATCGCATAAAAGTATCCGCATGAAATATCCTTGGTCAATTATATGGCCTTGTGAAATAGTTGCTTCAAGCGCCGTGGTACACTGTGGCGCGGCGCGGCGCGGCAGGCGAGCAGTCAGCGCAAAACGCGCATTGGCGCCTACAAACCTAACAGGGATACTTCACGCATTGCGCAATGCGTGAAGTATCCCTGTTAGGTTTGTAGGCACAAGTGCGCCGCCGCTCCGCTTTGTGTTAGGTTCTAATATTTAATCTCGTGGAGTCAGCGTTTTTCAACTCATGACTTTGAAATTCTTGCACACTCTGTATGGATTATTCTCATTTTAATTGATGAAATAAAATATGTAGTAAAGGGAAATATAATGTGCGTTTCGTAAATATCAAGGTGATTCCCGTACGAACTTAAGGATTTACAAAGCACACGAATTTCAATTTCGGCGAAAAAGCAACAGGCAGGCCATAAAGTGTAAAGCCCGGCGTTAGGAACTATAGCCTGGCTGTATAATTTTTTCCTATGGTGTTTTGAAACGCAGCTCCTATTGCCAATTTTTACCAGGGTACCTGTTGAATAAACCGATGAGATTACTGATAAAACTTGTTCGTGCATCTTTCCTTTCCAAAAACACTTTTGATTTTTGTTCCAATGTGGATGTTCAAGATTTCATTCTACTTGTGTGATTAAATTCTGAAAACATATAATT